GATATATCTATTATACTTGATATACTTGATATACTTACTATACCTTTTTTCTTATTATTTTCTATCACCTTTTTACATGCTAATAATATAAATTTTTTTATATTAATAAACTGGAACAATTCAATATTGTACTTCTTAGAAAATCCCCCAATTAACAACTCTCAACTGGAAAGTGGTGTCAGATAATACAAAAAGATTCTCAGCATCTCCAAAATATATATAATAGTGAAAAACTCATCAGTACTAAAAATATTCGACTCCTTTCACAGTTCTCAAGGCATTAAAATTATCAACAAATCTAATAAAGACTTGAAAAATACATGAAACAACAAATATAGTAACCTAATCACCTTTCGCATCAAACTCATATCAGGAATCCTTCCCACACAAGAAAATCTTCACCAACAATATTCAAACCAATACTTTGATCCCTACTGTCCACAATGCGAACTCCGCATTGAAAGCATACAACATATATTCAAATGTCCAATAGTTTCAGAGGAGGCTAACCAAATTATCAAACAAACCAACCTAATTTTTCACCCCAATGGGGACTCAAAACCGATAACTCACATATGGCAGGTTGTAAAGCTAGCATGTGATATCACTGATGGTATCTTCTCACTATCAGACCTTGACAAGTGGATACAAGCATCGACTGAAGCTCTAATGCAATTATATAATACCATATGGAAACCACGATATGCTACAGCCAACATCTCCCCACAAAATAGTATAAAATGGAAAGACAAATCCTCCAGCAACACAATCAAAGACAATCAAGCAACTTCAAAATCAAATCCACGAAAACCCTCATCCACACAAGAGCCAACAACGACAAAAATTGACCTATCTACCTTGATTACAGACATCTATATTCAAAGCAATTTCAACTTCTCCAAATGCATTACTAATCTAATCCAAAGCTATTCCAATCTTATTTTTCCCAACACTGAGTAGGTAAACATAGCCACTTGGTACTATCTGACATGATATATTGTTTTAAATTTTATTTTCAATATTAGTCATGTGGTTTCTGTAGGCAAGCTAGCATTAAACTCACTGTATTTACAAATGAGAGATGTTGTTTCTTTCACAATGTATACTTTTAATATACAAATCAAATAAAGAAATGATGTTTACCTACTAAAAAAAAAAAATAAAATAAATTTAATATTAAAATTTATAATAAATACAAAAAATAATTTTTAAAAATAAAATATAAGATTTTTTTTTAACCTATATTAGTTTTTTTAAAATTTAAATAATTTATAAACAATAAATAATATTTAAAATGTAAAAATGTTCAATAAACATAAATTTATTTAAGATCTTGAACAGTAACTATATTATATCAACACTTTAAAAATATCTAGGTCTATACATTCTCAATCGATAGGGTCGGTTTTTATAAAACTCTAAGTTTTCTAAACGTATATCTCATTCTATACTATTAACATGTGAAAACTTTCTATTTTATAGAAATGACCTGCGAAATACTACTTTTATCCTCGCTGTTGTCATACTTTAAATAATTTAATAGAATATAATACTCTGATTATTATCAAGATTTTCTTAGAAAATTTACATCAATAATCCATTTGTCAATTTTTATGTTCCATCTTAATCCTTAAAATATTCAACAGTGTTTAAGACTAACAAACATCGACTCCTTCCATAATGCTCATCCTTGAGACACTTTCTTCGATAGATGAAATATCTATTCCATCATCACCCACTTCTCCACTATGCTCGTCTCTTGGTAGATAATCATAAAACCATCGTTCTAATAATCCTCGTACCTTTTCTTTTATGTTTTCAGTAACCCCCATATTATTCCACGTCTCAATTAATGCATTAACTACTCCAGATGCCGCCAACATTCTTGCATATTCATTGTGAGACTCGGATGATGAGTCGGCACCAGACAAATCTCCAACTGAAAGAATATTAACTAATGTGTCGAGAATTTTGTTCAATATTTCATGAGGTGTTGATGAATTTCGTAGATGATGAACAAGTGGTGAAATAATATCATGTTGGAGAATTATACTAAATTTACCGAGTATGTTCGATGATTAGCTTTGACATAAAGATAAATTTTATTCGAACAAATACTATAAATACTAACTGAATGTGACCAGGATCATGTAAACTTGTGGAGTTACTAAGTACCCAGCACGCTTCTTTTACAACTTTCATATCACTATCCCAAAGCAAGGCGACTACATTTTTCATGAGATTTGGTTCTGTGAGCACTGCATTAACCTGAAAATTGAAGATCATTTTCAATGTCAGGACTTTTTATAATTACACCTCATTTATCGTTTTCAAATACCTGTTTATACGTGCCAGCCGCTACATTTGACACTGCTAGGCACGCATCTCTTCTTAGTGTCAGGTTTTTTATCGTCAAAAATGAAGACGTAAGAACGGTAAGTGCCCCAGCATCTATAACTGCTTGCGTTTGTTTCTCTAAATTAATATTTTTCGTTAGTAACAACTCTTCAATACTTATTTCAAATAAAAATGGATATAAACCTGCTCCTGACGCAATATTTACTAATGTGCGTAATACCGGCAGATGTACCGTAGAAGAGAGAATTTCCTCACTATTATTTAATGCACATATTATTCAATGCATCAATTTCATCAAATAGTTAAATATGAAAAATATTATACCACAAGATCTGCACTAAACGACGACACAAATTACTGTCGCTAACTAGCGCATGTTCTCTGTGCCTATGTGTTCCATTTAAAATTCTGGACATGCCCCAACTGTAATAAATTATACAGAGTATATTAATAATTAATTAATTTAATTATACATAATTAATTATTAAATAATCAAATAACCATGCATCAGATATGATTTCCGGATCATTTAATTGTATCATATTTCCAAGGATCGGGAAGGCTGGAGTAATCTAACCAGAAAATAAAATGTTACGAAAAGCTTATACGAATAACTTTAAACAACACAAAGATAAATTTTTATACCAATGACCATGAAGGATCAGAACAACGACATCCACGACACATATTAGCTGTCGCCCAAACGGTTATTCTGACGGCCATATAATCGTATTTATCATAATGAGTCAATATATAAAGTAAAGGATCAAGCACACCAGCGGATAAAATTATGTCTCTGAATACAGCGCCATCTCCTGCGATATTTCCTAACGCCCATATAATCTTTGCATTTAGTATATATATTGTCAATTATTTGTAAATCCTTATTTCAAATACAATTAAATCTCAAAACTCGAATATTCCCACCTGTGTTTGAACTTCAATATTAGTTGAGGTAGACAACACCTTAATGAGATGTCGTGTCACATCACCAGCAACAAGAGCTTCTGTATGTTGAGTAGAACCAGCCTATATATATGTATATATACAATTGTTATTTGTGAAATTGATTGGTTACAATGGAAATTTGCCAATCCATTATAATTCAAGACATACGGCTATATTTGTAATTATCCAAGCCGTTTCATACTGGATAAAAAAAAACGCATATTAGAGTTTACTCAGCTCCATCACATTATATAGCATTGAACGTTATTTTCTTACTTGTAGTAAATTATCATGATAACTTTCGAGAAATTCAATCAATAAAGGTATTATGTTTAATGCCAGAACGTTATCGACCCTTTCGTCAACATTTTCTGTGGATAAAGGATGTTTTATCCATTAATTACTATTATTATTAGAATTAAAATTTTAAACGATTGATACCCACGTAAGGATAAATATTTTCGTAATCTTACAACAGCAGCTAGCCTTAATTGTCGCACTGGTGAATGAAGAGCATTATAAACAGCATGCGCGTGTTGGGGCAACTAAAATTAAAGGAAAGTTTAGGTGCATTAGCCGAAAAAAAAAAATTACGTTGAAAAACTTATGTTTTTTAAAAGTACTGACAAGCATCGAGACTTCACAAACTGGTAAGCCATCGTCGTTTTTTCCCAATACTTCTGCTGCATCGGACACCACTGAAAGATTTGCTAATTTACGGTTCAAGAATTCAATAATATCCGAGTCTTCTTCGGCCGTATTCTTTTCAGTATGCGAGGCCATTTGTGTTTTCTTTTTTTTTTTTTAGTTATAGACAAAAATATATAATAAAATAGAGAAAAGGTGAATTGCAAAATGAAAACCTCTTTTTTCTGTTTTCAATTTTTTTTGTAGTTCGTACAGTTCCAACAGCTTATAAATATTGATATCACGTGATTAATAAAGGCTACTTAAGGGTCCGTGTAACATAATGACATAATAATTTATGCAAATTTGTTATTATATAAATCAAAAATATTAATAAATTTTAATTTAAATAATAGTTATAATTTTTTTATTAATTAATTTAAACTAAATAAAAAATATATGAAAATTTTAAATTAATTTTATAAAATAAAAATATAAAAATAAAATATTTTTAATAATTTTTTTTTTTTATCGCGAACAAGCATTAAATGCGAGACTTTATTTAAATAAAAATATTTATTGTCATTACATTAACAATCTTTACATAGTAAATTAATTGTAGCCTATTGCAAAAAAATATTTTTAATAATATTTTTAAATTTTTTAAATTTAATATAATAAAAAATTTATTTTTGAAATAAAATTTATATATAAACTTTTTTAAAACTTTTTTTTTATCTTTTAATATTTGCAAATTTTTTATATATTTTTTATTTTTATTACAAGAATCTTAAGAATATTAAAGAAATATATAGATATATTAGAATGAAATTTTTTAATTAAAAAAAAATAATATAAAAAATTGGTATTATTTTTTTTATAAATTAAGACAACTATTAATTAGATTTTTTATTACTTAATATAACAATATTATAATCATACTTGGCTAATATATATTTCTTTTTGCTAAAAAAAGTTTAATGCAAGATGCAAAAATTGATTCATCTATTTTAGTTTTTTAACTACTTAATAAATAAATATATATATATATTAAAACTTTATATTAAATTTTAAATAATATTTAACAAGAAATTAAAAATATTATATAATATTCAATTATATAAAGATGCTATAATCAAATATACAAATTTACTTTCAAATTATAATTAAAATTTGTATACTTGCTTCTCAAAGTTGGCTTGATATATAACAAATAATATTAATTAAAAAAAAAAATAAGTTAAATATATTTGTATATAAAGATATTGTAATTATTTTATATAGTTTAATTTATACATGTGATTAAAATTATTTTATAATTGACTCAATTATTTGAAATTTTTATAATGACTTAATTAATATACCACAAGTTACAATTGTAATATAATTATATAAATTTGTTACAATTAAATTGGTATATTGCAATCATATAATTTATCATAATTAATAAATTTGCTGCAATTATATTACAATTAAATCAATATAATGCAATTATATAATTTGTTGTAATTAATAAATTTGTCACAATTGTATTACAATTAAATTAATATAATGTAGTTATGTAATTTGTCATAATAAATAAATTTGATATAATTGTATTACAATTAAATTAATATAATGCAATTATATTATTTGTTATAATTAATAAATTTGCTACAATTGTATCATAATTAAATTTATATAATACAATTATATAATTTGCTGCAATTAATAAATTTGTCATAATTATATATGTTTTCTTATTACTATAAAAGGAAATTTGATTAACAATATAATTTTGAATTAAATATGATTCTTAATTACTTACTACCATATACTACTGCATACAATACCCAGGAGGTATTTTACTAGAAGGGGGTAGTATTAGTAGCAGGATATATCATTACTATAAAATTTAAAATAATATTGTCTTACTTATTATTATATTAATATACCCAAGTAGTAATCAATTATCAAGTAACAATTTTCTTGAATACTACTTGGTATTATTAGTGAGGGGTAGTATTTGGGAGGGTATTGTATGTAGTGGTATATAGTAATTGTTACTTAATAATATGAATATAATATGGTTTTTGAAAAATATCTGAATTAAATATGAAAATATGTATAATTACAATTATATTATAATTAAATTAATATAATACAATTATATGATTTGTTATAATTAATAAATTTGCTACAATTGTATCAATTAAATTAATAGAATATAATCATATGATTTGTTGCAATTGTGTCACAATTATTAACCAATCAAATTTAAAAAAACAAAAAAAAACAAAAATAACAAATTAATTATTTTTCTATTTATCTATTTATTCAAAATGCAAAGTAATGACAATCAAACAGTTTTTTTATTATTAAAAAATAGTTAAGTAACTTGAATCAATTGCTTAATAACATTTTTACAAAACAACTATTAATAAAAGTTGTGAATATTTTTTAGCAACATGTCATTATTGTAACAAAAAATATTAGTATAATAAATCAAATATTTTGAAAAACTATTTAGCAAGTAAGTATACTATATATTTTGTTTTATTGAAATCTGAAATAAATTTTTAGTGATAATTGTCAATAGAACTGTTGAGAACAAAAAAAAATCAATCAAAAAAAAACCAAATTAGATTCTAAACAATCTTCATTAAATAATTTTATAAAAAGTATCAATTTAATTAATTATAGAAAAGATATAATTAATACAGTATTAAGAAGATTTTTTGTTACTTGTGCAATTCCTTTTACAGTTGTAGACTATTTATTTTTTATTGAATTTTGTAAACAACTTTATTTAACTTATAATTCACTATATCATATAATAATTTTAACCAATATTCTTTATTCAGAGGCTACAGCAATTACAATTAAGATTTAAAAAGAATTATAAGCTAAAGAAAACATTATTATTGCTTTGGATAGATAGACAAATTTTAGTAATTGGCAATATATAATTTTATTTTGATGATACTTAATAGATATAAATATTTTTAGGTCATTGAAGATATATTATTAAAAAGTTTTATGAAAAGTTTTTAACCAATTATATTAAAAAAATTATTAATAATATTGGACAAAATAAAATTTCTGAATTGATTACAGATGAAATAACTAATTATAAGGTTATACAAAATATCATTGATAAAAAATATTCATAAATTATTACTATATAGTATATTGCATATTATATTAATTTAATTTTCAAAGATATACAGTATGGTGCAAAAGTTTTTAGACTAATTTTGATTTTTAATTTTATTTATAAATTAACAATTAATTAGTAAAATATAATAAAAATTTGAATATATATAT